GATATAGGCGGTATCCTTGCCATTCTTCTTGAATGCAAGCTTGAAGAATTAGGGGATGGGGCCCCTGAGAGTAACCACCTCCCTATAATTGGGAAGACCATCACACAGCTTTGCAAACTAACCATTGCGAACGAAGGCCATCTTCCTTCGTCGTTGCCACATAACCCCCTAGCACGACGGTCTCCTCTGGTCCAGATCTGTCACGGTGCCCCCGGGTTCCTGGTCCTTTTAGCTCGCGCACGAGGCATTGCACGTCTGGCGAGCCTGGAGTGGGAACCATGTTGGGATCATGCGATATACCTCGCTAGCCAGCGGGTTTGGGAGCAAGGCCTCATCTTCAAGGGAGGTGGCTTATGCCATGGTATTGCGGGAAACGCATGGCCTTTCCTAATGCTTCACAACTTATTTGAATATGGGCCTCAGGGGTCGAGGGCTGATAGGATCGCGTTCAGCGAAAAGTTAGCTCAGACACCACCGCCTCCTCAGAAGTACTCTGCCGACCAATACCTCTCGCGAGCATTGGCTTTCCTTCTGCATGTCAGAAAGACACAGCCATTCAATACCCATACGTACGAAGAGAGCATCCAATATCGTATGCCAGACCACCCTTATAGCCTCTACGAGGGGCTCTCTGGCACAATGGTCGCTTGGGCAGAGGCATGCGTGGTGATTGTAGCTCGCCTGCGAAAGATGGAAGTGGACGAGGTTGTGGGACATGGTGCATATCATACTGATGGAGCTTTCTGTCGAGATTTGCGCCATGTTCTGGGAATTCCCGGCATCGCAGTTCAGGGATATATTTAACTTGTTTTGACTTTACCTTTGATTGCTTCTTATTTGCATGCGAGAAAGCAGGTAGTATTAATGAATGGGGTTGGCCGAATATTGTGCACATAACATCGGGGGAAAGCCGTCAGGATTAAGGCATTGCTTTTATTGGGGGTATTCTTGCTACTTAGCGTCTAATGATGTACAACAATAAAATAACGGATGAAGGTTGTGAACATTACCAAACGAGTCTCTAGTAGTTCAATATGATTGTTTCACATTACAATCAAATTATATGTCAAGAGCCAACGTAAAATCAAAAGTCTTCGTCGTCATCCTTGCCCAGCAAAGCTGCATAGTCCTCAACAGAAGCAAACGTAGGCAGGTGCTTGAGTTTTCGTCTCTTTTCTCTCTTCGGCTGATCAGACTTCTTTGTGTCTTTCGCCTCAGCGTCCTCATCATCCAAATCTGACGGTAGCTCCTGGTCACTGTCGAGGAATGCTTCCTCGTCTGACTGATCGAAATTGAACACCTCCTCGTCAATATCGATAGATTTATCCATTCCAGCCTCCGAAGATGCTTCATCATCATCCTCCTCCTCCGAGCTTTCATCATTGATGATAACATCATCATCGATCTCACGATCCTCGCCATCCATGTCTTCATCCATGCCCTCTAGGTCATCTCGATCACTATCTTCCATAGCAGAATCAAAGCCCTCCATGTCCATGTCGTCGTCACTAACACCTTCACCGTCGAGCTCAGGCTGCGACTGTACCAAAGCTTTCCAAACTTCGGACTCTTCGTCACTCTCCCCTTCATCATCATCATCCTTGGCAGCTTTTTTCTTGGATTTCTGACGTATTTTGTCTTTACCAAGTCGGTTAAAGTAATCATGGAAGAAAACATCTTCAGCAGAAACCTCGTCGCTTCGTTTTCTCCAGAACGACTCGCTGTTGACCGGCTGCTGAGTCGTATTCCGCCCAGATGTTACCAGGAGACCACTAGAATCCCCTCCAGCAAGAGGTTGCATAATGGAAGATCCGCGAAGGCTAGGCGTAGCTTTGGGAGATTTATAAACGAAACGATCCAGAAAATGGGTGAGAGTATGTATCGTGAGATCTGGTTTTCCAGACATTTTCTCATGTAGGAGAAGCTGTTTAGCACTGACAGCTACAGAGGGATGGTAATGTGATAGATATGGAAGCTAAAAAAGAAAACGATTGTTAGTGGCTTCGAGCCAATAGTTATTAAGAAACTGCATCAAGAGGTACGAACCAACTCCCACAGACAGCTTCTATCAGCGTTGCTTTGCTCTGGGTCTCTCTTTCGAGGATCATAACGAGTTACCGATGGCCGCTTTTCAGGCTCTTCCTTGTCTACCATCTCATCTTCTTCATCTGGAACGTCCCTGAAGACTTCTTCCTCGTCATCGTCCTCTGCATCTTCTGGTTGATCCACCATAGCTGTCAGAGATGGGAAAGTTGCTTCCAATTTTTGGATCAGATACAAGACTCCACAACTAAAAGATGGGTTGTGCACGCCTAATATCTGTACTAGACGCTTGATAAACGCTTTAATTCGTTTAATGTTGATGTCCGTGTTCAGGGCCTTGTATAGCAGGTTGAGGTACATCGACTGCTTGGATGACGTAGCCACCCGAGGATCCAGTAATGATTCATAGAGCGTTTTATAAAAGCGATCCGCTGACACTGCATGAGATGAAGAGAGCTGTTGAATAAGCATAAGAGCCTGAATGCTAGTGTTAAAGTTAGAAGAATTGGTAATACGGAAAAGGGTATCCAGATGTTTAGAAAGCCTGAAAGTAAAATAAAGTTAGTTTGCAACATTGCAACGGGTTTGAATAAGGATCAACATACAATTCATAGCTTGACGTAGTAAAGGGATAAGCGCGGTTAACGCCAACCAAAACTGCTGAAATAAGTTTCTCCCGAAGCTCATCCTCCTGAGCCTCCCCTTTGGCATCTTCATTGTCTTCTTTACCCTTTTTACCCTTTTTAGAGTGCTTTCCCTTCTTTTTAAGTATCTTTTGGGCATGAACGTCTTTCTTGGGCTTTAGGAGAGCAACAAAAAGGGGGAAATAGATATCAAGAAGTTGAGATGCAACTTTATCATCACTCTTGCTCAAGATAGTTTGATTTAGAGTGATAACTCCGTAATACTTTGCGTGTTGGCTCTGGCCAGGGCGAAACAATGACTCCGACTCTATCGAAGAGACAATAGTTCCCTTCATGAGTGGATGAGCTTGTTCGAGTTGAAGGAGAAGATACGACGCTCGTGAGGCAATCTTCTTGCTCGGGTCGCCTAACTTGTTCACAAGAAGGCGTAGCAAGTTTGATTCTTGTTCCGGTTTCTCCTTTAGAAGTTCGTAGACGTAACTCAGGGCTCTGGACCGTGAAAACTCGATTTCATCATTGCACCAAACTTCAAGAACCTTCAATACCTCGAAGTATTGGTCTTTGAGGAAATCTTCAAATGCCCACATAATCAAATGGCTTTTCTCAATTTGATTCGGAAGCTTATCGCCGATGTCCCAATGGCCTCCTGCCTCCGATAGTGCAGCAGCCAAGGCAGGTTGATTAACGAAATGTTTCAATCTTCGATCACTGGGAAGTAGAGTTCCTTGTGCAAACAGATCTTTCAGCGATCTCAACACTTCTACCGCTTGGGCTCTGCTCCGCTTTTTGGCCAGACCAACCAAATTTTCCAATGCCTGTGTATTGTGAAGAGGCGATTCCTGTACCGAAAGGGTCAAAGCCGATATTTTATCACTTAGGGTACCTGAAGAGGCAATTGTCGAGTAAAACTTGTAGCTTGAGGATTTAGAGTCCCTATTCGACGTGTAGGCTTTATTTTCGGCTTCCAACAATGTCATAGCATATTCACGCATGCGCTCCAGCACTGGACGAGATACAGTTACGTGGTGACCGGAGTCATAGGATACTTCTGGAAGCAGAGTAGCATACCAATCGGAACGCTCAGGGATAACCTATACACGATATGAGTTAGTATAAAACTACCTTCACCAAAGGGGAATATTTTACTTACGAGATTCGAAGAGGATGGACCTTTCTTGAGAGTTTTAGAGTCTTGAGTTAAATTTGAGGGCAGAGAATCATTTCTCTGGGTCTTTTTACTCTCCGTCTTCTTCTCTAGGGCATTATTACCCTTAGATTTCTTCTCTTGTGCCGGTTTTTCGGTTCTGTTTTCCTCAGACTGCTTCCCCTCCTGCTTCCGTTCCTGCTTCGTTTTAGCGGGTTTCGTCTCCTGCATAGGGAGGTCTGGAAATTCAGGGAGCTCATTCCCGCCATTGATAAGTCTACCAAGGTCTCTTCGAAGCTTCTCCAAATCGCCGCTGGAAACCTCCTTGTCCTCCATCTCTGAGTCCGATTCAACACCAGCTACCAGGTCAAGATCCTCCTTCGTCCCACCAATTGCATATACCTCCTCTTCCAGATTCTTCCCGACATCATGCTGCCTTTCCGCCGTTGGATATGACTTTTCAGAAACTTCAGGTTTTATAATTTTCCCACTCCGGTCCCGTTTCTTTCCCGCTTTATCGGTAGGCTTAACGTCTGCAAGTAGCTCTCGTTTTTTGACGGGCTTCACGGTGGGCTTCGTCTCAATGGTTTGGTTCTGTTCCTTGCGCTTTTCATTCTTTTCCGATTTCTGCTTCTTTTCAGCTTTCGACAGACCTCCATTTGCGCTCTCATCACCCTTTAACTTCTGTTCAATTCGTTTGGTAAGACTAGCTACCGTAGCATCAGAAAAGCTTGGTGCTGCGTCTGCATCACTGCTCGGCCGCTTCCTTTCAGCGGCAGCACCATCCTTGGCTTTGGGCGACTTAACCTCTTTTCCTTTCCCCTTTGCCATGTCGTAAAAATATCTGGTTGGCCCCGAGATAAGAAATCTGAGCCTTCGGGGGTTTGTTCTAGAAAAATAATAATTGGAAAAAAAGGGCAATTTTTTATATCGGATAAACAGTTCACCCGGAGGAAGCTCGCGGGCCGATCAGATAAGGCAACGGGAAAGTTCAAAAAAGTTGAACGTCCTCGCACCTGGCTATATACATCGAGGCAACTTCAACATCCATCTAGGATTATCAATTCCCTCTTGTCAACAGCTAATTTGGTTTAATGTCATGTTTCTTCAGGCCGGCCTTAAGCGTGGCCCAAAGTCGCTTCATTGGCGACCAGTATTGAACATACCTTATGCAGGCCAAGTTCAAAACCTCCGGAGATACCATGTATGTGATGTACCTCCTAAATTATAATAATACCATTATAACATATTTTGCAGGATGACACGAGGAACAGAGCCTCTAGTTTCTGGATTCCCTCTGGCGGAATAGCAGAATCCAAGAACGGAGGTAAGTAAAACTACTTCCTTCTTAGGAGTTGTTTGGCACTAATTCCTGTATAGTGGACTCTAACGACCTTCTTATTAGGGCTGGATTCCTAAGACAGGTGCGTTACATAGCTTTAATTATAGCGAATTTCAAGCTGATATCACATAGCCCTACTCAGGGGTATTTCACCTTCTTCCACTTGGTCTCCGAGTCCAAGAGAAATTAGAGAGGCTTATTGATAAGCATATGCGCAAACTCAGTAAGTAGCTCCTCTTCAAGCCAGTGAATCTATGACTAATATGCTCTTATAGGCGCTTCAAAGCTGTCATTATCATCATTATCTTCTCAGGCTTTATGGAAGAAGTCGGGGAGACTCCATGACGACGATTCTGAGGTATGCAGTTGATTCATGTTTTTCCGCGTATAGTTTGATAATAACTCTTAAAATAGGTATTTCGCTTTGTGGATAGAAAGAAGACTCCGTTCCTTCTTGCCCCAACTCATGAAGAAGAGATTACTACTGTTGTATCTGGGCTAATCAAATCATACCGAGACCTACCGCTACGTGTATATCAAATTTGTAAGACTATTCTTTACTACACAAATTATATATCAAGTTGCTAACTATACACTCTAGCGAGAAAATATCGTGATGAACCAAGACCGCGGCATGGCCTCTTGCGTGGTAGAGAATTCGTTATGAAGGATCTCTACACTTTTGACTCTACTGAAGCAGAGGCAATTAAGACCTATAATACAGTGAAAGAAGCCTATATTAGTCTCTTCAAGGAATTAAAGTTGCCATATGTTGTTGCTTCGGCTTCATCAGGTAACATGGGAGGCAATCTAAGTCACGAGTTTCATTTTCCCAGTCCGAAAGGAGAGGATACTATAGTCAGCTGCTCTAAGTGTGAATATGTCTTCAACGAAGAGTTAGCCAGCGGAAAAACCTCCTGCAAACGAACTGAACACAAGCCAAATTTAAACTCCCCAACTGACGGGCTAGGCCACCAAGAGGCAGCAGCCATTTCAACAGGCCAGTGGTCAGCAATCTCTAAAGACAGAAAAGTCTTAGTGAGGGCATTTTACCCCAAATTCCTTATCGCTGACAAGCAGTCAGAGCCTGTTCAGCGGGAAGTGAACCAACATTCTCTGAAATCAGTGGCTTCCGCCTATGGGATTGATATTGACATAGGTGTCAAGGACGCCCTTGCTACGTGGAAAGCTGAAATCCAGAACCAACCTCAGACGGCCAAACAAAATATACGTGTCCTAGATATCTATGATTTCAGAGTCCGTGTCTATGATCGGCCGCCAATTAAGGACCTTCTAAACGGGATGTCTAGCAACAACCTTGACATTCAATCCTCACTGCTAGACCGCTTCCCTGGAACCAATGACGGCCTGGATCTACTCCGAGCGAGACCAGGAGATGAATGTCCCAATTGCGGAAACCCTGCTCTCAAAATAGACCAGTCCATTGAGCTTGCACACACTTTTCACCTTGGTACACGATATAGCGAGGTCCTACAAGCCAATATATCCATAAACCCTGCCATTCTAACTGGAGCAGGACAGAAAGGGAAGCAGGAACCAGTTCCAATACAAATGGGCTGTCATGGTATTGGGGTGTCGAGAATGATATCGGCAGTATCGGATATCCTGGCAGATGAAAAGGGCCTTAACTGGCCGCAAGCCATTGCTCCCTTCCAAGTGGCCGTTGTACCTGGGAAGGGTTTGGAGAAAGAAGGCGAGCTGGTCTACGACATCGTTACTCAGAAAACCCAGCAGCCGATTGACACGATATTGGATGATAGAAAGAAAGACTTCGCCTGGAAGTTGAGAGATGCGGACATCATTGGATATCCCATCATTCTGGCAGTTGGAAAGAATTCTTGGGGGGCGGGCAACAAGGTGGAAGTCCAGTGTCGACGACTAGGAAATCTCCGAACTAAAGTTTCCCTGGAGGAGGTTCCTGAATTTGTTTCATCCTTGCTCAGCAAACTATAGCATTGTCCAGCTCTTCTTCTGGCAGCTCATGGTTTTTATGGAGTATGTTTGTATAATACTGTATGTACTAGCATTGGCGTTCGGGAGATATTGTATATCACTATGGGATAGAATCGGCATTAAAGAAATTTCTATTTTATTTTCAAGATCTCAAGCTGTTATTCCGTAACGTATTATAATTAATTTACTTTATTTCCATCACGGCAGACTAAATCCTTGGAATTAAATATAACAAAACTTACGTTCGTGTTCGACCATAAATCTCCCACACGTCACTTTCCGCTAACTTAGTTAACTAACTAACTAGCTAACAAACACATTCAACAATTCCTAAACTCCAACACAACAATAATTACCAATCAATACAGTCGTTTGTATATTTGAATACAGGGTTAAGAATTGAAATGGCTTCTTCGCAGAAAACTTCTGCCGCCGCTCCTGGCGCAGGTTCGTCACTACAACCCCGCACTCAGGTCCTTTCGCTGATAATTCAGCCCGTCCCAGCACGAGATGGCAGATACATTTAAATATCCTGCATGCTAACCAGCAAACGCAATAGTTGACGTTGCTACATTATCCGTACCTCAGCTTCGCTCTCTCCAGTCCCGCCTAAGCTCCGAGCTCGAACATCTCACATCATCACATACGAAACTACGATCCGCGCAATCGAAGTTCAGAGAATGCATCCGTTCTATAAACGACGGTATTCTCGCGAAGCCAGAAAAGGATGGACAGGAGAGTGATATATTAGTGCCGTTGACCAACTCGTTATATGTCAAAGGGAAGCTATCGGATAGAGAAAAGGTGATCGTAGACGTCGGGACTGGGTTCTATGTCGAAAAGGTACGGGACTTCTGTTTTGTCTCGACCCATCTCAATTGGCGGATATGGAGGCAAGAATGGGGATTCACAATGCTAACGGATCACTATGGTAGACACCAACCAAAGCTATAGAATTTTACAATGGGAAAGTGGGAGAGTTGGGAACAAACTTGCGTGAGCTAGAGAAGATTGTGGCCGGCAAGAGCACGAATCTAAGAGTCGTTGAAGAAGGTATTGTTCAACATGCGACGCCCTGTGGCCCTCTAACTTGGGTAATTACCTACTAACAAGAATTATGCAGTGTTGCGCCAAAAACTTCTCGCTGGGGAAGGCAATGTGGCGCAGGCAGGGCCTAGCGGAGTCGCACAAGCTTGAATAAACCGAATATGCCCATATCCGAAATTGACAGCAGTCTCCGAAGTGTATGACGGATAAGGCTAAGCATAGCCGGTTCTATTGCAGAGGCCAGGGTGCAGGGGATAAGGTAGCGACATTGTTGTAGTGAAGACTCGGTTGAACCTTCTAAGTCCCCTTGGAATCTTCGGTTCAGCCCTGTGAGAGAGGTATCAGCAGTTGTTTGGATTGAAAATATGGGTTACTTGGCCTGTCATGGCATTAGGCATACAAAAAGGAATTCATGATCTCTCTCTCTTTTTTTTCCTTATTTATTTCTCAATTCGCTCGCTTTGACACATGCTAGAACAACTTTTAATGATTGATGGCCAAATTGAAGATATGCCTGAGATTTTTATCTCCTATGCTCCCTAGCTACTAAAATACCATTGTTATCCCATAGAGTGTGATTGAACTAAGCTCGTATAATTGAATGAGTTCCGGTGGTGGAGCTATCGGAGCTGCCTTCCTCTACTGCCTCCTGCCTCTGCTGTTCTGCAGCTTGACCCTCAGAATCAGCCTCACCCTTTTGTCCGAGTAGTGTCGACACTTGTTCGATAAGAGGCATAAAGGAGTTAAATCCACTTCGTAGATCAGATGGGTCAGCGTCTCCAAAGCAAGGGAAGAAAGTGTTTAGACTAGGACTCCATTCTGCATTGTGCCCAACTCCAAAATTTGCATGCTGGCCTAGCATATTATCCCATTGGAGGTCGAAAATAGATGCACCCCAAGACGTTATGGGTACTGGTGACATGTTATTCGAACTTGGTCCTTGTAAAAGAATCTGAGAGGCCGTCAATTGAGCACGCGAATATTCATCGTATCGGGCGAGTTCGAAAATGTAATTTGTTCCCTTAAGCCGGTAGCGTAGCGCTGACTTCTCTACAATCCGGGCGACTGGGGCAAGATTTGAGAAAGATACTCGTTGTTTCCCGGGACCACTCAAATCAGGCATTTTCTCGGGGTGGAAATGTACTGAATGAGAGAACTCTCTTAGGGACTGTTCAATTGTCGAAGGCTCCTGGAATTCAAGGGCTTTGATTTCTAATTGCCAGTCTGATCTATGGAGATAGTTAGTACAAATAAGTACAATGTGTTTGTGAGCTCAAAAGAAGAAGATACCTTTCAAAGTCAATAACGGCAATTTGGAGAAGGGGCCGTGTATCTCCAACATTATCATCACTTTGTGGCCGGATCCAACGCTTCTGGTAAACCTCAAAGTGATTTGTAGAAGGGGACTTTGCAAATTCAACTTCCAGCCTCAGGAGGGAGCTGTTGCCCTGGAACTCGAAGATAACAGCATACAATGGTTCCGGTTGCTTTTGAGAATCCATAGCAGGCCCATTTAAGGGGGCTAGAATATGAGCGGCAGAGCTGCACTTGGCCAAGAGGCTGGTATCCCCACCAGTATATTTGAGTCTAACAGATTGTTATTAGCTATCGCATCGATCGAACTTGGAGAGCAGGGAATGTTACCCTTGCACTAGATGTCCTCTAGTCCTGGAATTAAGCAACATTGTTCTGAATTCATCAAAAGAATATCGAGCTCTTGAGTTCTTGGGTTCCCTATAGTCATCAAGTATGAATGTTCCAAAGTTGACCCGCATACGCACATGGCCGCGGAGAAATCGAAGTCCCTGGAGTGATTCTTCAACGGTCTCACGGAGGCGGCTCTCGTTAGTGTTGAGAGAATCTTCATCTCGGTCTTGCATAGAGTCTGGATCCATTGATGTCAGAGGTATCTCATGTAGCACTGGTGTGGCATACATCTGCCCTAATCCTCCTACAGAATGGGCTACTCGAGCTATTGAAACCTCTTTGTTTCGAATGTTTGACGAAGCTGCCTGCACAAGGTAAAGTTTCGACTGCATATGAATCTTTGCCATGATTTCGGCCCATTTAGCCCGAAGTCTGTGCACAGCTGTTATTATGGTGTCATGGTCATCACCATCGACTCTTATAAAGGACGGCTGTTCATCGTAGATGTAAATGTAGCAACCAGTCTCCCGGCGAATAGGATCGAGTGCTTCTAACTGAGGGCCTAATAGATCAAATGGTACCTCGTCTGTTGGCCATAAAAAGAGCAGCTATTTGCAAGATATTAGTTTGTAAGAGCGCAAATATATTGAGATGGGGAATAACGCACAGTTTCCAGGAATTCAAAAGCCGGGCTTGGTCTCTGGCGAAGCAGCTCGATAACAGTACTGGATTTGTCAATTTGGTCAAGGCGTGCCTCCTTGACTTGGGAGTAACTGGAAATTTTAGCAAAAATTCCTTTTTTCTTCTTCGAGGGCCCAATGTCGGAGCAGCGGTTGAGTAGGCGCATAAGGGCGCTCTTCGCAGCCGCTACTTGAGCTGGACTTCCCCAGATATGCAGCCACTAGAATAATGTATATTAGTCAAGGCAAACAATGACAGGTAACCTACTCATACTTGTTCAGACTGTTTCTTTGGATGCGGAATAAATGCGCCCGTGTCATAGTTGATCTTGTCGAACAAAAAGTCATTGACACTCCCACAGTTCGGTCCTAGTGCTTTGATATACTCCCCCACCCTAGATTATTTCATTAGTACAGAAGATCAGACAGAACTAATTACTAGTCACTACTAACCTCTCTTTAAGTACTCCAAACGACATAGGGAGCCGATATGAACCTAGTATCGAGGTTAACCCATTGTTCGACGTTGATCTCTCGGGAATTCTCACCTGATGACGCGGCACCAGATGCCCATGCGTTTTTATTCACAGACACATATGTAGGAGGTTTAGGATAGCGCGCACCAGAAGTGCTGGTGTTAGTAGATGTGGTAAGGGGCGTTGGATCCAGCAATTGTGGCACTACACTCGGGCCAATGGTGTCGTCCTGCAAAGGTCCTCTATTAGCACCTCGATGGGGTTGGAATATCTAGTTTAACTACTCACTCGCTCAGCTTTGGGCCCTGCAGGGATTTCAGGGGTGAGTGTTTGCTCGCAGTCGTAAAATACGTCCTCACCCTGTACATCTTCTGGTTGTTCTTCTTCGAGGCACCATTCTATAAACGTTATCATTTAGTTCACCTGACAAGGCAACGTTTCTGCTGACCTCTTGCACCCGAAATTTCGTGGCTATCAAATCATCAGCAGAGCACATTGACTATAGCGTTATAGTCAAATATAATACTCACTCCATTGTTTGGTATTGCTTTTCGAGAGTTCCGCTCTCAGGAGTCCGAGTATCTGCAGATAAAAGAGCTTCGTGGCAGTGGACGCGGTTGTTTCTTTCCAAGGCGGAATGAGTGTGTGTTTAAAATGTGGAAGTGGCAGGTGAAGAAAGATGAAGTTCGGCGTAGCGAGTCTTCACTCCTGCTTGCCGCCAACCGCGTCAAGTGAATGTCCAAGGCATAAGAACAACACGGAGCAGAAATTTCATTTAAAGCTACTAAGAAATGCACTTAAGCGTGAGACCTTTGGTTTGCAGCTGATACCATTGGATAAGAAGGATGGATATACATGGAAGAAACAACATGCAGGCACCCGTCCCTGGCTAGCCTGCCATCCCAGAGTTGATATCAATAAATTTCTACAAGTGCATCTACTCCCCAGTAATAGCAGCAGCCGATTTCTTCAAAATATCCTTGAAACATAGTTTCAAGAACCATAGATTGAATATTCACTTCCATTTTAACAGCATGTTAAAACGGCGATTCTCCAGCTTCAAGGGTCAACCGTGCCTTACAGCTTGATAACAAGCTGGAACCCACGATATCAAAGTGACAGCTAGCATAACGCACACTTTTCACTTGCTCAAATATATTATCCAGGATCAGATAAAGCATATAGGGCATGGATGTTAGGTAGTCAGGTTTTTTGGCCTGAGGTTCGATGTTTATAAAAACAAAAATCAAATAAAAAGAGTGAAAGCAACCAAAAATCAATGCAAGAATTATCATTGGTTGTTTATGAATAAATTGAGAGTTCCAAGGCTATGATTGGCGTAAATAGACTTACTAATTTACCAGTTAAATACGGGAATTAAGCAACAATAATATCTCGCAGTCCTCATGAACTGGTGGGCTGTAGATTGACTAGAGCAATCAGTGTCGGATACTCCGCGGGTACCATTGCAGTAGGTGTGTTTCTTGCGATATCCTATAATTTCTCCATAGTCAGATGTTGCTCCTATGATTTCTCTGTTCTCAGTTTTCAATGCATATGAAATCACAACTTCCAGCCTTTCTCGAGGTAGTTACGCAGTTTCCCCATAGAAGCACCGCACCTATGTCACAGGTAGCCATCCATTATAGAAAAAACAAACCATATCACTTTCTAGTTTCTAAAAATCGACATATGAACTAGTCCAGTCAATGATGTAGAGTAATAATAACGAACCTCAGCGACCTCAGGCCGTGCCGCAGCCGAGAGCGGAACAAAAATAATCCGTCACATCGACCAATCAGGAAATCGGCGATTGACTTCATCCTGCACCGAAGCTGTTTCCAAAGCGCAGAGACGCCCGGGCAGCTTCAAGACCGCCAGCTTCAACCTGCGAATAGCCATTGAGCCAGCAAGATGTCCGGCGCACGGAGACCTCAGTGTGTGCCCCCGCAATCGCCCACCATTTTGCCCGATAACCCAATGCTGACGACTGTGTGTACAGATTCAACCAAGAGTCCATCACGGACAACACGCCTTTGCCAGACCACATTCCTAAGGTGGAGGAGATCGGAGCCACCTCGGCACCGCTGTTGAGTGCTTCATATTTTATTGGAACCGATGCAGAGCGTTTAATGATGATTATATGAAGTGCAAGGCCGAGGCGGGAGGTCGAGGAGAGGTGGAGTGTTTGAGGGAAGGCCGTAAAGTTACTCGTTGTGCTGCAAGCGTGTATGTTTCATTCTTGGAGATAATGTTTTGGGAAAGACGGATTTTGGGTTCATTTTTCAGGATACTGACGTGCCGGATACAGAATAAAAGACATCAACACCCACTGCATGCAGCAGTTTAAGGCACATTGGGAGTGTCTGGAGCAGAACAACCATCAGCTGTGGAACTGCCGAAAGAATGAGAACCAGCTTAACACCTGTGTGTTTGAAAAACTTGTACGTTTGCCTTGGTCTGTGTTGTCTTCGAACGTGCGTGGCTTGTTTTGCTAACGATTTGGATTTCTTTTATATAGGGTCTGAAGAAAACCATCCCCGATACCCCGGCCGGTCAAGTCCCTGTGCACCTGCGCAAGAAACAGATATATGCCAACTACCAAGGCGAGCAATACTAGAACCCATTTCTTTCGTTTTTCTCTCTACTGAAAGTTCGGTTTGAGGACACTTTGTTTCCTTTTGACCATGTGTATGTGTAAATATAAGTTAGAAACGCACGCAGCATGTTCCTTGCATGTTTAGATACTATTTTTTACCTACGTATCGTCTTAAAGCTGCCATTTCATGCTGCCTGAATCCAGTTAAGATAGACAACAGCTAATCTTGATACACTAATTATCATACAGGAACATCATACAAGAGCCCAAGATGAATGTACAACTCACTTGTCCAAGTATTTTGTCTTTCCTTTCATATTCACAGATGGTTCATAGAGCTACTCATCAATAAGCATAAAAAGGCTACGAAAAAAACATACATAAACAAGAAGGGAAGAAGACATGTGTTCAGACAAGTGGCTTTGGTAAAAGTCCAAAAAGAGACAGAGAGAAAAGGGGGTTGGTCAAGGCGGGTAGCAGCCATGGCCAAAACGAAGCGAATCAATGCCCTCGACGAGGCCGTGCGAAAGAAGCCAGAGAAAAGTAAGTGACGGTTCTTTGTTTTAAAAGATGGAAAAAGGGGTAAAAGAAGAAGGTAAAACATCGAACGGAATTTTGTTGTCAAGTCTAGAAGAAAGGAGGAAACGACTGGACAAATGAAGGCCCCTGAGAGGAACGGCCAGGGGCAGAAGCGGTATAAGGAGATGAAGGTAGGTCAAGATCCAATCCCATGAAGAACCCCGGTTTGCGGATGGAGGATGATATCCTTGGTAGATGACAGCATTTATGGCAATTGCGCTGATATCCCTTTTCAAGGTATGTTTGTACTGGATAGTTACGCCAGCCTTTTTACACAGTAACTACAGGCTGCCCCTTTGGAGGCTTGACGTTCTCAGCGTATTGGCCAAGGACGTTTCCTATTCGATATATCGTTAGCATTGTACTCTGTACATGAGATGGAATTGAATTGAAGGTATACATACCAGGAGGGCTGTAGTTGCAAACAGTGTAATAGGCGTCTCCACCAGAGCCCTGGCCCCCGAGATTGGAACAATGGGCAGTGAAACAGCCGACGTGGGTGGTACCAATCCAGACCATCTGGGTGAAATGGCCCCATGAATGGAAGTTGGATGGGTTGTTATTGCCATAGTTGCCCTCAAAGAGGATGGCCTCCTCGTTGTACATTTGTTCGGTAAGGAGAGCAGCAACGTTGTTGTATCCGGACTGGTATCCGATGTTTTGGCCGTATCCACCGCCATCAATGCTCCTGTGTTCACAATTCAGTTAGTTACTTGTTCAATACTTCAAAAAAGGGGACAGATAATTTGCATACGTGTCATGGCCGTAGTTGCAGCTCTCGGCGAGCTTTCTGGCGCTGCTTTCCAGAGCGCTGGACCAGGTGAGAGCAGGAGCAGAGTGGTTGGAACGGTGAACGTTGTGATGGTAGCCAGCTACCTCCTTATAGTCCTTCCCTGGCGGTGGAGGAGGAGGTGCAGGGCCCTGAGAAGGCTGCGATGGCGGCGGCGCTGGTGGTGCAGGAGCAGAGGAAGGTGGTGGTGGTGGTGGTGCTGGTGGTGCAGGAGCAGAAGTAGGCGGCGGTGGTGGTGGAGGAGGAGCGTAGGTTGATGTTCCAGGCTCAGGACAGGGAATCGTAGAAGGCTCAACAGGAGGTGGTGGGAGAGGCTCTGCAGACGAGGTCGGCACAGGAGGGATAACGGGGGGCTTGGAAGTCGGCTCTGGCTTGTACGAAGTGGTTGGTATGACCGTCGGGCAAGGGATGGTGGTTGTCACCGTCGTAGTAACAACTACAACCTTCTTTGCAGTAACGACGACTTCATTTGGAGGGCTGATTTGTTCGGCCGCCAGGGAGCCGGCGACGCAGAGCGCCGTCATCAGCACGGAGGACTTCATCTTGTGCGGTGGGATTGCCTTCTTTCTGCTTCTCCTTTCTTCCGGATTTCCTTTTCAACAGCAGTTTCCGAGGTGATTCAAGGTCGAGGCTGGTATATATATATATGTATGTATATATAATCCAGGGGGGGTATTTGGTTGGCGTGCGTGAGAGGAGAGAACTGGTTTTGATAGTTTGATAGTTCACAGGTCAACTGCGAAAGAGTTTCGACAACAGACGACAAATATACCCTCTGACCAAGGCAGAGAGATGCTTTATGGGACAAAAAAAGTAATGAGCGAAAGGCTTTCTTAGACACTTTAAAGAATGGAAAGTGGCTAAGAAGCGGTAGTTGGTGGAGAAGAAAAGCAGTCGAGGAGAGCGAGGAGGAGAGCAAGAGGAGAGGAGAGAGAGAGAGAGAGGAAGCAGGCCAGGCGGCGGCAAGGGGAGTAAATAAAGACTCGCGGCTGGAGCCTCTCCTCTCCCCCCTGGACAGGTACAAGATACCAACTGAGATTAAGATTGGCCTAGTCAGGGGAGCAAAGGGACGGGAAGCTGGGGGTGAGGATTCCGTGTCGACAAAAAAGCATCGAGCGGAGACCCGCACTGATAATGTAGCTAGTTATATTAGTTAAATGATAATAATAATATGTGATGTGGGCTAAAGGTGTGTTCTGCCTGATAACGAGATGGAGATGGGGACGGTAGAGAGGAATGCAGCCGGACATTATTATTATTATATGCATCCCGTCCCCATGGCATGAATATTAATTGGAAGCGCGGCCCATCTCGTCGTCTAACCTGCTGCCAATGCAAGGGAAAAAGCGCGGCCGAATGATAACTGCACAGCGAGAAGGCGAAAGCCCAGGCAGGTGGTGAACGGAGTAATTTGCGCTGAAACAGCTCAGGGGCTTCACGCCAGTCTCTCGCAGGCCCTCAATAAGGTTGGAGAATTAATCGGGGGCGTCAACAACTCTGGTTCTCTCTTCGCTGTGCTGCCAGCTCTTTCGTCTCCCTCGTTCCTCTCTGCTTCCTCCCTGTACCACGATGGAAAGGGCCGAGAGGATGGGTGGTTGCAACCCGGATGCTGATCGGCCTCAGAGAGGGCATCCCAGCGAGCGCCGCTGACGATCGCATATCGTCCAACATCCTTCGTATATGGGGCAACCGGGTAATAAACTACTCCGCCGTGGCAGTTTTAGCGCGCCCAGTGGAGTGTTCGAGCATGCAAGTCTTCATCATCATCACCAGCATCCATTCAGCCCCCTGGACCAGCCGGCATGTCCTCATCTCCAGCCTGCCTGCCTGCACTACTGACAGCTTGACAGCACACAGCATCCGAAAGCTCAACTCTGGCGCTGTCAAAGAGTGCAAGACAGACCAAGACGCCAGTTCACTTGGTAATGCATGGCCCCCCCCAGCCATCCTTCCTTGGTGCGACAAGGAGCAAGCAGAGCAGCCTTGTATCGTCCTCCCCCAAGTCGCTAGTCGGCCAGCTAACCAGCTAACTCGCTGAACCAGTGTTAAAAGGCCGTGGGAGTCTTGATGTTTAGCCCAGAAACCCCAAAAGGCAGCCTCTGCCTCCCTCTCCCTCTCTCGATTTCTTGCTCATATTTGCTTTTCTCCGTCTGCAGTCGTGGTGAGACGGGAATATTCAGGGACCAAGTCAGTGTGCGTCAGGGGTGCGTCTTCAGGGGCTCCGCCGGCGGTTCCATCCCTAACTCTACTTGTATATACGCACATAAAAAGTGTACATATACCTCAGGCAGCTAACAGGATGGAGGGCCTGGAATTGTCCGACCAGCTGCTGGCCCTGTCTCTTCCCTGTCTGCATGCATGGACTTTTGCTCTCCTCTCGCTCTCTGAGGCCGTGTTTTCTTTTGTCACGCACGATCCCGCAGGTAAACATGGTAGTTAAATTTGGCAGCGCAAGGGGAAGAAGAGTGACTGCGCTGGACATCTCCCTGTCCCTGTCCTTGTCCGCCGGCTCTGTGGTCCGCCATATGAGCTCTCTTCTTCTTCTTCTCATTTCGTCTCTTCAGCTCGTTTTATTATTACTCCTCGCGCCCTTTCATTTTGTTTGCTCGACTCCAGCGTTGGAGCCGGCCTGCTAATAATAACACCCCAACAACTACCGTGTTGGTTCCGTGCGGAACGCGCTTGTGTCTCAAGTCCTCCTTTGGAGCGAGACGAGCCCTGCCGGATGATGCGATCAGACAAGCCACAGCCTAACCTGACAGCCAGTGGAACCACCTAGATAAGTGAGAAGTGGCGGGGAAAGGCGTAGGACTCAAAGAGTCCCTTCACAGCGAGACTACCTCTGGAGAAACCGGATGGACCCAAAGGGCCGTGTTTGATAAGGGCTTTCCAGTATCCGTTCATCCACCCAGGCGCAGCACCAAGGCATGCAACAATATTAATATGGCAGCGGGAGTCCCTTCAGTCGGTTGTTGGGGCTAGGTTTCTTCTTCCTCTTCGTCTTCATCTTCGTCTTCCTCTTCATGGCATGACAGAAAGCTTCGTTTCACTGCAGGGACTGGAGATGTTATTCAAGCTAAGTAACTAGCGAGCTAACTACCTGTTTGTGTCTGCGGCTATGCTATGCAGGGCGGGAAGCCAGAGCAAACATGAGCCTCGATAGCTAAACACCAAAGACTACCCCAGGAACCTCCTGACGCATGCAGCCATGTATTTGGTAACAGCCCGCAAGTACCTCCAGGGCGCTTAGCTATGCATATTCTAACTCGACAAATAACTAGTATTGGAAACATAGCAGGAACAGGGAGGGGAAAAAAAAGGGGGATAGAAGCCAAAAAGGATAAAAGCAAGTATCGGGATCAAAGGGCTAGACTACATCGACCGTTCGACAGGATCCCGCCTCGCAGATGAGCATATAATCCTTTCCAGACGAAAGGTCCTTGAACAGCGGGTTTCGCTCGCGAAGCCAGCTGGACTTGTCCGTCCTTGACTGACGAACATCGACCATGGAGAGAACTGCGGCGCTAGTCGATGCAGTACGACCTGCCTCAGCACGAATCTTGCGTATCAGATCACTCTCCGCTTTTACACTGTCATCTCCCGTCGCGGATGGTCGTCCCAGAACGCCCGTTACGCTCTTCGTTCCTATCTCCAGGCCGACGATGACATCCAACATGCCAACGAAGAGGAAGGGATGCTGCATGATCTCTACCGCAAAGGCGTGGCATGTTTGCCTGGCCTTGAGCTTGTAGGACTCGTCCTCCAGTAACGAGGACAGTCGCAGCAGGTTTTGCGCGATCACACCGTTGGTAGACGGAGTGGCAGAGTCGGTTCCTGTCTTGAGACGGAACAAGGCACCGGGTGTGTCAGTCACCGCCTCAGACGGGGTCATGTAGAAGCCCGTGCAGATGCTACTGTCACTCGCTGACACGGATATGAAATACTTGTTAAGATACTCTGCGTTTAGCCGAGCTGTTAGCCATACACCCTTCCCTTTTCCACACACTTAATTAAAAGTAAATATAATAATATATGGTCGATCTTCGAAGGCAATTTTCAGTTAATGATTGGCAATAATTGGAAACTCACGCTGCAATTTATCCGCAAACTGTAAATGCGCATCATCAAATGTCGCTTCGTAGAGCTGGAGCAAGCCGGATATGAGGTAGGCATAGTCGTCGGCAAATCCAGGCGTGTCTCCGCGGGAATCAGCACGGTAGATTCGCCAGAGCTGGCCAGACTCGGCATCAAACAAGTTTTCCTTGATGAACTTAACAGCGTTGCTGGCCATCTGCCTGCAGTGCTTTGACTTTTCGGCATCGATATCTTCCAGCAATATGGCACACTTCGCGAGCGCACCGATCACGAGTCCATTCCAGGCAACAATGATCTTGTCGTCTAGTTCAGGCCGTACCCGCTTCGTTTCTCTATACTCGCGGAGTTTCACTCTGGACGTCTTTAGGATCCGTATTGTTTCTTCCTCGTTCAGTCCAAACTCCTTTGCAACTTGGGTGGGAGTCGTTGCAATCCTTAGGACGTTTCTGTTCATGAACTCATCATGGGGGTCGTTCACTCGCGCCACATTTCCGTCTGGTAGGACCCCCCAGTGCCGTGCACAGACGTCAGCATCACGCTGGCCCAATATCTGTTTCAGTTCCTTCAGCGTCCATACATAGTAGGCTCCTTCTCGCTTCTCGGTATCCTCGGGGCTAGGCTGGCTGTCCGCATCTTCTGACGAGTAGAAGCATCCCATCGGAGATAAGATGGGGGTACTTGTAATATACGTGACTAGATCGTAGATGGCGCCGAGGAGCTCAGGTTCATGGCTAGCTTCAAAGCCATCAATAAACACATCAAGTAGCTGCGCCTGGTCATATAACATTTTCTCAAAGTGCGGCAGACTCCAGTCCGGAGTGACGCTATACCGCGAGAAGCCATAGCCAATTTGGTCTCGAATGCCTCCCCGCGCCACCTTGATCATAGTATTTACTGCCATCTCCGTGGCTTTGACGCACTCTTCACGGCCAACTATATCCATCACTTCTTCGGGATATCTCGACAGGCGAAGTAGAAATGACAAATTGACCGGTGTGGGGAACTTGGGAGACCCGGAAAAGCCGCCATTTGTAGCATCATAACGAGCTGCAAAGTGCGTGAAGGCTTCCTCCAGCAAGTCAACTTCCAGGTCTTCCTCTTGCTCACTCTTGTTAACCTGGGACAGATGAGTGCCTTCTTCTGCAAATTCACGCAGTTGCCGAGTAATCTCCTTTGCGCTCTCCCGGCACCGGAGCTGTTGCGTGTTCCAGACATCCCTCAGCTTCTCAAGGACATCAATGAACCCAACTGGCTCCTCACCACCCAGCTTTGGCAGCGGGGTTGCATTCGGTCCGGGCCAGTACGTACCCCCAAAGACTGGCTCAAGGTCAGGAGTAAGAAAGACGTTCAGAGGCCAGCCTCCGGACCCGGTGGTAGCCTGAACATAATTCATGTACACATCGTCAATATCCGGTCGTTCTTCCCGGTCCAGCTTGATTGGAATGAAGGATTTATTAAGTATGGCAGCAACCTCAGCAGACATGAAAGATTCCTTTTCCATGACATGGCACCCTGTTCAAGAAAACTGTCAGCCCGTACATGTATAAACTCCGGTGACTCCGCCTGCCTGGGTGCCTGCGTACAGTGGCAAGCTGAATAGCCGATACTCAAGAAAATTAGCCGGTTTAGCTGCTTTGCTTTGTTTATGGCCGTCGAATCCCATAGCTGCCACGCAACCGGGTTGTTCATGTGGCTGCGCACCTGTTGGAGTCAGTCGGTGTGCCCTCTATTAGCCCATGGTCCGGGGGGGAATTGGTGAGAGACGTTAATGCCTCACTGCGCTGCAGCAGGATAAGTAATCACATACATACGGAGAGCGGCTTTCACTGAGCCGATTGACCAGCTCGGCGGACGCTGCAGAGCCCGCAGACTCGTCTATGCGTTTCCTATGCGAGGCTGTATCCATGCTGCGGAAATGACGGCGGCGTCGCTGACTGCTGGCGGGAGGCGAGGGACGTTATGGCGGGCTACTCCCGAATTAAAGATGGTATCAGGCAACAGCCGGGGATGTACACGCTTAAGTTAGCTGGTCGTCTGGGATGTTTAGTTGTAATATATCGAGGACAGGGGATGCCCTGACAGCCGCGCTCATTAGTTAATGCGGTTTTAAGTATACATGCGCCTGGGGGACAGGCAAAAGAGACGATCTTATAGCAGAGCCCTCCGGTTGGTTTGGCGTCTCTCGGGCTTTTCGAGCAGCCAAAAAGCAAACTTTCAGCGCTTTTTGTTTTGATGGAGAATGACCTCATTGCACGTGACCTGGGGAAAAGGGCCTCCTAGGGGCGCAGCTAGAGGGAACAAAGGCCAGAAGACGAAGAAGAAGAAGAAGAAGAAGAAGAAGAAAGATACGGGAGATAAATGTGTACGTTCAATTGCTATTGCATGGAAGAGTATGGAGTGCTAAGCTAGCTAGCTGCTGTCGTTGAGCAGTTCGTCGAGTTCCCGCTCTTCCTCCTCTGTCAGCATGGACTCCGGAGCAGGTTCCGGGACGGCTGGTGGCTTCTGCTTCTCTGCAGCCTTTGCGAGCTGTATCTCCCTTGGATCAAGAGGCCATTGGCGGACAGTAGCATCGATGCTGACGCTGACCACCTTTGAGCCCACGATAAGCAACCCAGTCACTTCTTCAAAGTGGCCCGAGTAGGTGTGGTGCAGTTCGCCGGTCTAGATAGAACAGACTCGATTAGCAAGAATGTCCCCTACGCCACTAACTAGTAAGCTATCCTTCCGGGATGGGTGCAAACATACCGCTCGATCCCACACTCGAACCTCTTCATCTCGACAGGCCGTGATGACCCACCCTCTGGCCTCATCCACCACGATATCTTTGACATAGTCTGGATGTTCCAGCGCCGTTTCGGATTTCCATCCACTCTGGCGGGTGAGACACCGGGCTATATTATCAGCCGAAGCTGTCCAGAGGTCTCCATCCTCGTCGAAGAATATTTTGTAAATACTCGTTTCATGCACCTTGAAGGGATCCGAGAGAACCGCATCACTCAGGTTTGCAGGAACGGTGAAAGAATGAATCCCCTGCCCGCTGGATGAGCTGAATACGGTGAGCGGGTTGCCTTCTGTCCTCGCAATCGGGTCGACTGCCAGACACTGAATTCCGTGGGTATGGCCCTTCAAAACGTGAAGTCTGGTTCCGGCAGTGGCATCCCAGATAATGACCTCTGCGTCGGCGCCTCCTGAGATGAGCAGGCTGCGACCATCGGCATGGACATAGACCACTGCCTTAACAAAGTCTGTGTGGCCCGTGAATTTGTGGCCAGGCTTACGGGTCTTCACGTCCCAACTCCAGATGCACTTGTCCCAGCAGCCTGCGTAGACAGTGCTCCCGTCCGTAGAAAGACAGATAGAGGGCAATGGGGCTGCAGGTCCTTTATAGACCGCAGCCGATTCACCCGTCTGGATCCCAGCTGAATTAGCCTCTTATCTTCTGGGCATGCTGTCCTTGGGTATAAAATCTCACCTACTTCTAGGATAAGCTGCCTGGCAGTCCCAGCGCTCTCTGCGAGAAAGACCGCATCACTCCTCGTAGGATCCGCTGCTATAGCAAGTATCTTGCTCTGCAGCTTGATGGGGCTTCCATTTGAGTTCTTGGACTTTTCTCGCTTCCTCTCAGCATTCTCCAGCTGTGCCCTGCAGCCAGTCAGTCTCCCATCACTAACTTAACTAGTTGAGCACAGTGAATATCTAGAACAAGGGCTTACGTAGTCTGAAAGAAGTAGTCTCTGTTCGACGTCTGCATGCTGATCTCTCTTCGAATCCTTTTCTCTCCCTCTCACTCGCCGCTTTGTCCTTGTCCTGCTCGTCTTCGTCGTCGCCGTCGTCTTCGATCCTCATCTTCATCTTCGTCTATCAAAAAGAAAAGCTGCGCTCTTGGCCCGCCCGCCCCGCCGTAGCCCCGACTGCGCCCAAAAACGGCAAAAACCAACTTCAAACCTCCAACTTCGCCTCTTCTCGCGCTTCAAACTTGACACCAACAACGCCGCAAGCACTCCACCCCTCCGCCTGCGCTCTTCTTCTGCCCGCCTGTTTCCTACTCTCGAGGACGTTTCTTCGTGCTGTTCTTAGTTCTGTTTCTCTTTGCTTTCGCCGCGCGGATCCGCGCACCACCGTCACCATGGACATGAACAATTTTATTGGGTATGAGAGCATAGTGAACTGAGGCCACACCCGCCGAGAAAAGCTGTCGACAAGCTAACAGGATCTCTTCTAGCCGGCGATTCAACCTCATTTCGATGAGCGATATTCGGTAGGCTGCCCTCATTGCTGCTACATACTCTGTGGGGGTTCGATGTTTGGCTGATTTGGCAACTTTGTTAGCTATGTCGGTACTCTGCACGACATTAACCCAGAGGCTTCGACTATTGCCCTCGAGAACGTCGTATCGCATGGCACTGAAGGCAGACGTGGCAATGCGTCGGACGAGGTTCCTCCGACTAGTTGTGTTTACGAATACATTGTTTTTAGAGGCAGTGATGTGAAGGATATCAATTTTGCCGACAATGAAAAGGAGAACCAGCCTCCAGAGCAACCGCAGGTGCCCAATGACCCTGCTATACTAGGCGTGAGTAGTGACCCATTTACCCTGCTCCCAAATATCCCGGTTATCGCTTCTTCTTTGTCTACTTGCTATACTTTAGATGAGGGTGTAGAAAAGGGTGAAAACTTGTTACGATGCTACTTTTACTCAAGGGCTTCTACTTCACATTATCACTTAAATTGGTTGGTCAGTCCTGCTGATAACTATATGCTAAATTAGACTACTGCTCCTCCACGTCAGGCCCAGGCGCCAGCAGCTGCTCCGGCTCCTGCTCAGGCAGGCCGTGGTCAGCCAGCCCAAGTTCCACAGCAACCCCCTCGACAGCAACCACCGCCTCCTGGCTATCCCCAGCAACCTCCATATCCCAACTACTATAATCCCTATGGGCAGCAGTTCCGTGGTCCTCCTGGTGGCCCTCCCGGATTCCCTGGTGCACCTGGCCCTGGCCCTGGCTTCCCAAACATGCCTTATGGACAGCAAGGATGGTATCCTCCCCCAGGCCAAGGCTTTCCACAGCAACCAGGCCCGTTCGGACCCCCTCAGATGCCAATTGGCCCTCCACGCGGACCACCTGGACAGCAGCAACAGCAGCCACCGCAGCAACAACCACAATCGCAGCAACATGGTCCAGAGGGAGCCCCAGCCTCTCAGAGTACCCAAATGCCAACATCCGAGCTCCCAGGTGGTGAAAAAGCTCCGAAGAAATCTACAACTCCTGCTCCGGCAGCTGCTGCTCAGAAGGAAAGCCAGAAACCTACCCAACCTAAACCAGAGGCTTCTACCGCCCAGACTCAAAAGCCTGCCCCCGCCAAAGCTCCCACACAAACTATCTCTGAGGCAACTGTAGTTGCCAAGAATGAAAGAATTGTTCCCGCTGTGCCTGTTGCCGTACCACTAAAGCCCGCTGCTCAGCCCACCGCATCAGCTAGTCAGCAGGGAAACCGAGCTCCTCCAAATGCGATGGAGGAGGCAACTCGGGCTGCTACTGCTGCTGTCGCTGCTGCAATGGCAAAGCTACCACAACCTGCTGGATCCCAACAACAGCAGCAGCAGCAACCCACCAATGGCTCTTTGGAGAGTGTTACTAAGAAAATTAATGAAATGCGACCGTTTGATGGTGAACGTCAACCAAGAGGTGGTCACCGTGGTCGTGGAGGCCATCGTGGTCACCACCACCACCACCAACAGGTTAAGAAGATCGAAGTTCCCTCCACTGACTACGACTTTGCATCCGCGAATGCCAAGTTCAATAAACAGGATCTCGTTAAGGAGGCTATCGCTTCTGGATCCCCATTACTTGAAGCTGAAGGAAAGGCTCATAGCGCCACTTCAGAAGCTAACGGAGTGGAAGGTGGTGACATCTCCAGTGCTGCATCTGGCCATGCTACCACTGCTGTATATGACAAGACCTCTTCCTTCTTCGACAACCTATCAAGCGAGATGCGTGATAGGGAAGAAAACGCCCGGAACAAGACCAGTGGCCGTGAATGGCGTGGGGAAGAAGAAAAGAAGAATATGGAGACTTTCGGACAAGGCAGCGTCGATAGTGGATATCGTGGCCGAGGTCGTGGCCGCGGACGAGGCTACGGTGGACGAGGCAGAGGCTACAACCGTGGCTACGGAGGTGGACGTGGTAGAGGCGGTTTCCGCAGTGGACGAGTTGCAGCCGAGTCTACAGGAGTTCCATCCGCTTCATAAATATGATACAACTCCTTACCACCGAGGCCTTCATGGGTCTTCTTTTCCACCCTCATACTTTCACCTTCGGTCCCTCTTAATGTGTCTTCCTCAAATTGGCCCTGCGCCTACTTTGAATACCCCTACAAGTTTCAATCTGCTCTTTTTGTAGCGAAAGAATGATATCACGCCCTACCCCATTGGTTTGGTCTTGGGTTGGTATGCGCAAATCAGCGCGCATTTCTCTTAACTGCCTTACCGTCCCCTTTTCTTTTTTCTGCATGGCGCATTTGGTGGGTGTCTCTTATGGATTTTATTCAAGGTTGGCCAGGTCAATGAATGATGCCACTGAAAATGATCGTACCGTTGTTTCCTTCCCTTCTCCGCCTTCCCATGTCAATCTTCTTTCCCAATCATCAAACCCTCACAAGAAAAAAAAAATCCCAATAATATGCAATCTCTGCTCCGGCATTTGTTACCCCCTTTTCTCCCTCAACATAAGACCGTCTTCTGTCTATGGTTTGGTCGACTTCATCACGAGCCATCCCCTACTTTTCCTACCTCATGCGGACAATCTTTTCTACTTTTGATTTCGATTCTGTCTAGATATAAGATGCTTTATCCACAGACATCTAGCAGTGGACACGGGAGATTAGCTTGTATCATTATCCAGGGGCTCAATACCGCCTACACAAAAATAACAAAAGACAAAGGCACAGCCTATCGGCTTCTTTGTACCTCTCGCCCTCTTTTCACCTGTATACTCATCTATTTATTTACCTAAACTGCTTCTCTTATTTACTTCGGTTGTAGGTGTTTTGTTTGTTTGCTTGATATATCTGGCAGTGCAGCACGTGAACTACGCGCGCCCAACAGCCGCGGCTTAACTTTGATTTCTAACCAAAACGAGCAGCTTCACTAGAGAAAAGCCATCTCAGACAAGTTCCCATGATCCTCTCATCGAAACCCCGGAAACCCTAGAAATACCATTAAACACCCAATGCTCCTGTGTCCAATGTGCATTCTGCATTCCTGAGAGATCATTGACTCTTACATGGGCACATACAGCCCTCCATGTGGCTTGCGCTCTCCCGAGTTTGCGCTCACGACTACGCCTCTGTTTGATCTCCTTATTCTTACCCACATTCCTCAAGCCCGAGTCTCATGTAGGGATCAAGCTATAATAGCCCATGAATCATGTCGGACTCAGTTGGTAAGCTTGCAATTTGCTCCCCAGTTTACGTTGAGTGTCATAAAGTAGCTTGGCGCCTTCGGCTAGAGACAGCTAACTGACGGACTACGCATCGATCTCATAGATCGAGTCTTTGTCCATGCCCTTAATACGGTGAAGAAGATTCCCCGGACGGGGTCGGCCAGGCCACCGACCGCCGACCGATTGAAGCTCTATGGACTATATAAACAAAGCATGGGTATGGCTTAACCGTTATCCTGAGGCACTATGCAGGACTGTTGAAAACGAGGCTGACCGTTGCAATTATCGATAATGTGCAGAAGGGGATGTTGAAGGTGTAATGGACCGACCGGTTGGTGATGCTGATGTCCAGGCTGAAAAAGAGAAATGGTATTGTTATCTACACATTGTTAGGCGATGAGTTTACTTGCTAATGTTATTTGTTTGCTGATAAAGGGACTCATGGTATGCGCAACGGAACTTGTCACGAACGGAAGCTAAACGACGGTATATAACGACACTTATAGAGACCATGCATCGATATGCGTCTCCTACCCCGGAGGCTCAAGAGCTTATATCTGAACTTGAATTTGTATGGGACCAAATCAAGTCGAACACTTCGTCTTCATTCTCGAATCCGGATCAGGGCTTAAGCGTGTCGGGCCCTACCCGGATACCGTCTCAAACAAGCTACGACAATATAGGGAGCAGGGTGGCGCGACAAGGATTTGACGAGTCAGGGAGGGGCTCTCAGTTGCGAGTGCTGAGTCCTGTAAGCCAGCCAGATGGAGGTTCAAGGCGGCATCGTTACGGAAGTCAGTCCGAAAAAGAACATGATCACAGCTCCCGAAACAGAGATGGTGACGACACGGAAGACGACGAGGAAGAAGACCCAGACGAAGAGGAAGAGGAAGAAGAGTTCCAAGAAGCAAGGAATAGCTTTTATGAGAACCAGGAATCAGGAAAAGACCCACGACTTCAACCTCCTGCCACAGCAGGACAGAGACACTACCAACGATGGCAGAAACGCGTTGAGCAGGCCTTAACGAAGATGACTGTCGAAGTGGCTGCCGTAAGAGAACAGTTAGAAGCGCGCAAAGCATTTGAAAGTAGGAAATCTGGCATATGGTCCTGGATTAAGTGGTTTGCTTGGGTCGCTATACGGCAACTCTTCTGGGACCTTGCTCTGTTGGCAATTCTTCTACTGTATGTCCGCATTCGAGATGAGAGACGGCTTGGAAGAACTCTCAAATCAGTCTGGCTTGAGGTCAGGCAGAGATTATCCAGGGTTCGAATATTCCGCCGGCGGCCAAGTTAGAATAGAAGACCCCTCTCGTACATTTTCTTCTCCTGCAATTGTTTTATATATTCTTTACATTACACCAATATAGAGGCGGAACTTTCTATAATCATACTAATGAAACTATTGAGGGAATCTAGATTGATAGACGGGGATTTGAATGATATTGGGTAACAAACACATAAACACATCAGTTCGTATACATCCTAAGACTGAAAACGCCAAGGGGGGTGGGAAACATTATTTTGGTTAAATGAGAAGTGAAGAAATATGCTACAGGGAAAAAGGTTTTCTCAAAACGCCACATGCATGCCAAACATTGATGCTCCTAGTCTTTTGTAGGGCGGCAAGAGTTCCCTTGGTGGAACAATAATAAAATGGATCTCGGCTGGTATCTGAGCATCATGTTAGGGGAAAGAGAGATGGGTATATAAGAGGCATTCAAGGCGGCTCGGGGAGCATACAGTAGTGCACTGCGATGCAATAGCTACCCAGTGGTAACTCAATCCTCTCCAACATATTTGAACCAATTTGGTCGGCAATCTTCGAGTTGGAGAAACGGCTCTCCGCGATAGAATTGGCCAGCCTCACATTCCCTGCATTTCGGGGAATTTGGACAGTTCAAGAATGGGATATGGTTATATCCAATATCTCGGAACCTAGCATTAATGGGTTAGTAAAAAACCAGTAAAAAGAAGCAATGAATATATTCTTACCAATGAATTTTGCTTTTATCCGCAAATAGCCCCAGTCCAATCGAATGAACAGGGGCATCTCCCCACCGCTCATAGAAGAATCCTCCGGCCTTGTCAAGATGATTGAAGTAGTCTTCATATTCCTTGCTTCGCCAAAAAGATAGATCGCCTATCTCAAAGTTTGACCAGAAGTGGCAAGTTGAATATCCGTTTGCTTTCTTGGTATGTTCAGGTCTTTGCTTGTTGTCCGTCAACCAGTCCATGGCGTTATTCTTGTTTACGTATTCCGGGTGCTTTTCTAGAAACTTCAGAGTTTCAGGCCACAGCCCCGGCATAGTCTCTGGTGCATCATACAAGTTGATTGTAAAGCCATAGGTTTTGTTCCGGTCTTGCATGTATCGGAATACATCATAGTCCACGTCACAGAAAAAGCGAACCTTGGGCTCAACACGCCAGTAGTATTGCATATCCGCTAGGGCAGGATGTTTATAAAACATCCCGCTATTCCATCGGCACATCTTGTGGTAGGAAAGCACAGTGCTATATTGTATGCCGTTTGCTTCCATAGCCTTTGAGGCGGTTCGGTATTTGTCCATATCAATCCAAGATGGAACGTCCCAGTGTTCTTTTGGTACGATTTCTATACACCAGTGTGACACCAATTAGCATCCATTGGGCCCTTAGATAGCTAGAGATCGTATCCATCAACATACCATAATTGCACTTCGCTTTCGTTTCTGCCTGCGTCCTCCTTTTAAACTCCGCTGTAAATGGCTTGTCGTTGAAAAATGTCCAAGGATAGTTGAATTTTGAGTTCCACGTCCGCTCCAGCTCCTTCATAGTTGGAATCAAATCGTCTAGCTCCTCGTTGCGCACTAGAGAAATCAGAGACGCCTTTATCCGAGCGGAATTTGGGTTATCGGGAGCGTAGTCGTCTCCTTGTGCCCTCCATAGCGGTCCATCCGGCTCTCCGGTCACTGAGAGACGTCAGTAAACTCGGTAATACGGAGAATATATTCAGAGAATCTCACATTCTTTCAAAGGCTCGCGCTTAAGCCCGTTGTCATATTTATGTTTTCGGATTGTCGAAAGGGGTAAGGAAGGCGAGCTAGAAGTTTGATAGATAAGAAGCAGAATTAGAGCGATGCAGACCCCTATTACCAGTCTGACCGGCCTGGCGACTGCCATGTTGATAATGGACACGCACGATATTATGCGCTCTTGTATTTGACTGAAGTATCAAAAATATTTCGATACTCCCAGCCGGCATCGAAATGATTCCATATCTCGATCGCAGCACGTGATAAGGCGATTAATTTAAGCTTTTGAATTTTCACGTGACTGCACTAACAGGGCTAGCTCCATAACTAATTATCGCGCCGCGTCAGGGTTGTTTTTTGACGTTTAACGAAGATCGCGACTTATTTGACATTCAAAGTTGAATATACAAAGGAGCTGCCTACTTTTCTCGCAGGTATAATAAATTCCAGAATCTAAATGGCTGGTCTATAGCCGAAATGATTGCCTGCTCATTCCACGACTTGTTGACTGGACTTACACTGCTTACACTACATTCACCCTTCATAATTCTATGTCTTATAGATCAGGGGGACCATAACAATGTCTATCTCGCTTCGAATAGGTGCATTGACAGACGAGTTGGTAGCAGCTGTCGCCAAGTCGTCTGGTAAGGTATTTTGATTGCCTAACACTAAGTTTTGTGGGATTTGATTGCGTCTAACTTGGTAATAGAGCCCGTCAGCCATACCCAGGAGAGCAACTATTGAGAAGAAAATTAAAGATAACTCCTATTTAAGGACAAATAAGTTCGAAGTTATGAAATGTCTCGATGGTTTGCTAGAAAAATTTCAAGTGGTTGGAAATGATGAACTATCAGATGCACTTCATCGAAGGCTAGAAGAACTGGACCAAAAGAAATTGAGTTTGGCTCCTGAAATACTCTCCCTTCTATTGTTTCTCTCGGACAATCCGGCAACTCTTACAAATTTAAATGATCTGAAGGAATTCTCACCACCAAGGGACCCCAAGACCATAAAATGGGCAGACATCACGGACTCGGAGCTAAATGAACCGGATGATCTCTGGAAGGATATCGATTACGCTGCAGAATCTTCTGAGGATGATATATCCTCGGCATCCAGCCATGTTTCGATACCAAAAATTGTACCTCATGGCTCAACAGTCCCTCTGGAAGAATTTAACCCGTCTGAGGATTTATTTATTGATGTACAGGACGACGCCTTGGTAGCCTCCATTATTAAATCTCAAGCTCTGTCAGAAGGAGGGGATGGTGAAGTGTTATACCTGACCGAGCTCCAAATTGTCAAGGATTCCATATCTATGCTTCGCGGTCTACCGACGTCGACATTCTCAATTTATGATAATAAAATTGGAATTAATCGGAATATTTCCTTATCGCATACCTCTCAGTTTGCATTCCAGGGGTTAATGATGTCCTTCAGCAGTATCGGAACTTCCGTCCAGATTTTAAGATTGTTTCTAAAACGACCACAGCGAGTTCCATTTATGCAGACCTTTCAGAAGGAAGTAGAAGCGCTGGTCCTATCATTTGATAGATACCTCTCCAGTGAGCAATTGCATTATCTATATCAGCCTACCCCACTCTCCGTCAGCCTTCTTCATCTACTTCACAAGGTCAGGCAACATGTGAGGGTGCTACTTGAGCTTGCCAGTCTAATCGATGACCTTAATAAAAACTCCAGTCATGAAACCTTCCGGTGTCTAGATTTGTTGTATGACCTGGTGTGCGAAAAACAGGCAGCAGGCGAGGACAGTCAATACCGGGAAATCTCACAGCTATTTTTTGCCTGCTTTGAGAACTATACAAAGCCTATTAGACGCTGGATGGAAACAGGAGATCTGGACATAGGCCAACTGTCTTCCTTCTTTGTCACCACCTCGACCGGCTCACGCGATGACCTACAGACACTCTGGCATGACTGGTTTAACCTAAATTGGCAGTCAGGACGTTTATACGCTCCAAAGTTTCTTCATCCCTCGTCAAAGAAAATATTTACTACTGGGAAGAGTCGAGTATTCCTTCGACACCTCGGTATTGAGCCCCTGAACCCCGGCGTGCCTGACCCCCCCTCGCTCCACTACGAGGTTGTTTGCCCCTTAAACCAATCATTATCATTATATCCTTTTGCCGGCCGACTGGATGCAGCATTTAACCAGCTTGTTGACACCAACCATAACCACGCCTCCTCACTGCTGAGAGCAGAACTTGACGAGAAGTGCGGTCTATGGCAATCACTAGATGCGCTTGAATATTTATATTTAGGTAAAGATTACGGAAGGTATTCCGTTACGGACTACAGAATATTCGATCTTATAGATAGGGGAAGTCGATCTTGGAATGACCGATTCCTTATCACGGAGTTCCTCAGACAAGCTTTTAGCGGTTTGCCGTGTATCGATGTCACAAGCCTGATTGGTCGTTCGGCGAAAGTTCCGCTACATGTTTTTGATAGCCACAGTCGGTCTGTTCAAATCCTCAAGGCCATCTCTATCGATTATACCTTGCCTTGGCCAGTTGCGAATATTGTCACCAAAGACTCCCTGCAAATATACAAGCGTATTTCACTACTGCTAATGCAAATACGCCGAGGGAAATACACACTTGAGAAACGTTGGTTTACAAAGCCACATTTATCTCCAAACGACGACGAAGAGAGAGCTGATCACGTCTTAAGCTTTTGTGTTCGACACCGTTTGTTATGGTTCTTGAACGTTCTCTACCATCATTTTACGGAAGTTGTCATTGCTCGTGCTACCCGCGAAATGGTCAAAGCCGCCAAAGCCTCAGCAGATGTGGACTCCATGATTGAAATACATCAGTCATATATCAAAGCATTGGAAGCGCAATGTCTTCTAAGTAAAGATTTTGCGCCTATATACCATGCATTGATCTCTCTACTGGACCTATGCATATCGTTTTCCGACACACAAGTTGCTCGCAGTCTGGAATTACAGCAAGACCAAAATGAGCAATCTTTGGGCACTATACGCTTAGCACGGATGGCTGGGAGAAAAGCACTGGTTGAAGATGAGTTTGACGATAGCGAATCTGACATGGAAATATCCATGTTCGAAGCTGGAAATGCTACAAGTATCTCCTTTTTTGAACAATCCTACCATCGTCGTGTTATGCGCGTAAAGTCAAAGTTCGATAATCTCTGCTCGTCAATCAAAGCTGGTCTTAGAGTTGATCACGGCAATTATTCGCAAACTATGGAGACTCTAGCAGATAGACTCGAATGGGGCTGACACAAACCCAGTTAATTCTCCGTTACCTTTCTAACCTGGCAGGATGATTGGTATTTTGTGTCGTTATTTCTCATTGAGAAAAACTTTTGTTTGATTGGGCGTATATATACAATTCTAAACAATATAGCATGACAAACAAGGCATATGAAAATACCACCAGAAGCTTACAGAGACATATGGAAATGCTCCTTTATTTTCTTCAAATTTTCTTTTTCTATTGGCATTTTTGTGTTACCTGGTCCAAAGTCTACCCAAGTGGACAGAAGCTGCAGAATTAACCAACCCACCGTCTGGCACTGAAGAATACCCTACCCCATGGACCAATATTGCCCCATTCCTCACTCATTGCCTTATCTCCGGGGAACCAACTTCCAATACCAGCCATTATAGTGCGCTCAGGGTGAGGCATAATTGCAAGAACCCTTCCGTCCGGTGAACGTACACCAGCAATAGCTTCAGGGCTGCCGTTAGGGTTGAATGGATATCGCATAGTGGGCTCAAGGCTTGTGTTATCAACATAGCGAGCTGGGGCAAGTCCACGCTTCACGAGTTCCTTGCCGTCCATTCCAGGGGTATCCTCAAACGACGCTCTGCCTTCTCCATGAGCGACGGCGATAGGGAGAGAAGAACCGTTCATATCGTGGAAGAAAACGGTAGGAGGGATGTCAGTTGGCTCTGAAATTCGAACCATGCACACACGACCCTCATACTGCTCGCTGGCGTTACGCTCGAAATTTGGCCATATTCCAGCACCAGGAATCAATTCTTTGAGACGACCGAAGAACTGACAGCCGTTACAAACTCCAAGAGCAAAAGTGTCAGGCCTTTCAAAGAATAGCTTGAATTCCTCGCGAGTCTGCTTGTGGAGAAGGACTGACTTGGCCCATCCACGCCCTGCTCCGAGAACGTCACCGTATGAGAAGCCGCCGCATGCAGCTAAGCCTACAAATGAGGAGAGCGAAACTTTGCCAGTGAGAATATCACTCATGTGAACGTCCACGGCGGAGAAGCCAGCCATGTTGAAAGCAAACGCCATCTCGGCTTGGCTGTTCACTCCCTGTTCACGGAGAATTGCGACCCTTGGACGCGTTGCAAAAGGCGAGAACCGAGAAGTAAGGCTCGTCATCAATGGGAGACCTGTTTCCTTAGGGTTGAAGGTCAAGTTGTACGAGAGTCCAGCGTTGTTGTCGTCGAGAATATTCTCAAATTCCTGGTCAGCGGCGTCTGGATTGTCTCGGAGTCGCTGCATGCGGTACGAAGTCTCGGACCAAGCACGTTGCAGGTGAGAGCGGCTCTCTCTGTATATCAGGGTGGCTCCATGATAAATAGCCAAGTTCTGCTTCTGTTTTTCCGCAACACGACCAATCCTGTAGATCAAACCAGGTGGTGGGCCACAGGTTGCAAAGCAGCTCCTGAACTCGCCCTCATGAGCCTTGCGGACTTGGAACACGGCGCCCAACTCCTCATTGAACAAGGTTTCAATAGCATCCTTGACATTGGGGCTCGTACATATTTCGTCCAACATGATC